GGCAGGAGGAAAGCATTACACGCTGCAGGAGCTTGCACATGGTCAGGCTTTCTGTTTCTGCTTTTTTCAGAAGTAAGGTTTTATAGTTCTTCTTTAAAGGAGGGGCAGAGGAAATAAAAGAGGAACCATCTGAATTTAATTACCAGGATAAATATACTCTTGGTGACATAATCTTTGACCTGCAGCAGACAGGAAATCAAAACCAACGATTCATCCAGATGCTCGGATCAGCCTAATGTTTAGTAACAAGAAATGAAATAAAAGCAAAAGAAGATCATCCGCCCTGGCTTGGCTCACGTCGCGTAAAGGGAGGTGTTAGAGCTACTGCCCTGCCTTTAGGAAAGAAACAAATAACATCAGGGGTCGTTGCAATTGCCACTAATACAGAGGAAGCATCTCGAGCCTTAGTTCCAGAGTGTAGAGTTGTCGTAAAAGAGTTTCTGTATAAAAAAATCCTCATTAATTCTTGGCATTCATGTCTCCGCGAAGAAATTTGCATCTGTTGAAGGGAAGCGATCTAAATCTAGGGCAGAATCCCATCTGTGCTAGAGATATTTTCTCTGCACTGCAGCTCTCGATTGCATATTCTGTGCCCGTGTCTCAGCCTAATTGTAAACTAAGAGGGGTGGAGGCTCTGCAAGAGGGAGGGTGTGGGCTCTGAGTGTCTCTGATTGCTGAATAACCCACCCCCGGCTGGGGCCGGCGGGAGGACTGGGGTGGGGAGAGCACAGAGCAGGGTGTGCAGCCGGGGCTGGAGCCGTCAGGGTCATTGTGGGCTTTGGGAAGGAAAACACAACAGCTACTTGGGGTTTTGACTGCTTGGCTGGTCGGGAGAATCCTCTGAGCGAACATCCCCAGGCTGCAAAGCAGCCATTTGCCTGCCTGCGGCTGGACGGGATGTCCGCAGCCCCTGTTGGCTTTTTGGGGGGCTTCTCCACTTTTTCAGAATGTTGTCTTCACCTCCAGCCTTCCTTTGGGTGCCTGCGTTTTGGTTAGGAAAGCCCTGCGGGTAGTGAGAGGTGTAGAGGGGAACATCTCAGCCCGGGAAGGCTCCACCCAGGGTGAGTTCCAGGGAGGTGGGACCCGCGGTGCTGCTGTGTCCTGCTGCCCTGCGGAGTATCCGTGCTCCCCGAGGCTGCTTCTCCTCGCTCCCCCAGCAGCTGGAAATGCCAAATTCTGGCTTTATGGTCATCTTTTCTTAGCTTAAGGGAGACTCGCTCCCATTTGTTGCAGCTGAGAAAACTCTGTCAGATGTTTAAAGACATTCTGATACTCAAGGAGTTGATACACCAGGCACTGAGGAAAACTTTTTTTCTTCTATCAGTCACACGATAAAGATCTAATTACGCTGCTTATTTAAAATTTAAAAGAAAATAATGTATGCAGCCTTAAGTAGTTTAAATCTGAGATAAATCATTGTAGGAATGATCTCTGTATGACTAGAAATGACTTTTACATCTTTTGATTGCAGTGTTTTTCATATTTAGCGAAATACGTATGGAAACACGCTAGTGCTCCGTGGTTACACGTTCTCCAGCCAACACTGGCAGCGCTTCCACACCTCCCAGTTCAGACTTGATGTAGGGCTCCCAGTTAGAGGTTGCACTGCTCCTCTTTTGTCTCGGGAAGGGAGGTTTGGAAGTTGAATGTGCCCCTCCTCGGGGTCTGGTCCCCAAAACCCAGCTGCCATGCTTTAACCACTCGCTGTTCTCAGGAAAACTGGGTCATGTTTCTCACAAACGTGAAATCCGTCTGCAGTGCCCTGAGCTGATTTATGCATTCATATATATGGGGGGGGAAAAAAAGAGCAGCAGCAATTTGACTGAATTCTGATTTGAATTTTGGGGTTTCTTTCATCTCGGTGCTCCTGGAAAATGAAAGCAAAGGGGAATAATTGCCACAGCCTGCGAGTGGCGGGCTCTGCGCGGGCACAGGGGTTCCTCCGGAGCTCGCTGCCTGTTCCGCTCTCCTCCCGTGCCTGCCGGAGCTGCGGAGGCTCCTGGGGACACACAGCAAGGGTGCTGCTGGGCTGCGGTCTCTGCCTGGCACACCATGCCCCCAGATTCCCCCACTGCACCCCCAGACCCCCACCGTGCCCCCAGACCCTCGTGCCAGCTACCTCATTCACTTTGTTTTGTATGTTTAAAGTGACAAAGTTTGCAAGTACGGTGTCTGTGTCAGGGAGTGAGCTAGTGAGTCAGAATAACACTAGTCTGTTATTACTTGTTCACCTATTTATTTTTAATCTTTGCTATTAATAATAGTAATGTTAATCACTGATTTTCAAAGCTACACCTCTTCTTTAAACAAAATGAGTAGCACGGGTTACCCAAGTAACTGCACAGTAGCATCAGCAATAAGTAGGGCAACCCCCCCAAACGCACTCAAAATCTGCAGAGGAAAGAAAGAGGAAAAGAGTGAAGCGTGGTAACGCCACAGCCGTGTCTGACGCCCTCTCTGATGCTGCCCAGGGCAGGACGTGCTTAGAGCACTTGCTCCGTATGAGCAAGGTAGATACCCAGTGATGTTTCTCCTGCTACGTGCTCCTGCTTCCAGCAGTCTGTAAATTCAGACATCCTGATCTAAGGATTGCATCTTGTGTTTGATAGTTCTTGATGGATTTTTTCTGCTGTCAACTGGTGTAAGTGCTTTTGGAGCCCGTGTCAGGCTCTGGGCTCCGTAGCAGCCGTGCTGAAGAGCTCCTGCTCTCTGGAGCCCTGTGTGCAGGAGTGCCTCGAAAATTGCCAGGTTTGCTTTGATCCTGTCACCTGCTAATTATATGGGATGCCACATACTTCCCATGTTAGGAGAAATAATGACAGATCATTCCCCATTGACTCCCTCTGTGCCACTCATGCTTGGAGTGTCGGGATGGTTCTCAGACGGAAAAGGTCTGCATATGCCCTGGAAGCTCTCTCGTTCTCCAGCTCACCCTCTCACCCTGCCTCAGTGAGCATTTGCAGTTGGGCTTCAAATCAACTCGGTTGGAAAAGCCCCTGAAGGTCCTCCAGCCCCACCATGACCCTCCCCCTGACCGTTCCCAACTCCCCCAGATCCCTCAGCGCTGGCTCAGCCCGACTCTTCAACCCCTCCAGGGATCCCGGGGACTCCCCCCTGCCCTGGGCAGCCCATTCCAACGCCCAACAGCCCCTTCTGCACAGAAATCCTTCCTCAGAGCCAGCCTGACCCTGCCCTGGGCAGCTTGAGGCCATTCCCTCGGGGCCTGGCGCTGGGGCCTTGGCTCCAGAGACTCATCCCCCCTCTCTGCCCCCTCCTGGCAGGGAGTTGCCGAGGGCCAGGAGGTCTCCCCTCAGCCTCCTCTGCTCCAGACTGAACCCCCCCAGTTCCCCCAGCCGCTCCCCAGCAGACCTGTGCTCCAGACCCTGCCCCAGCTCCGTTGCCCTTCTGGGTAGCAGCACTGATCTGTTTAATTTAGGGGCTGGAGGCAGAGCTAAGGATGCTGTAACCCCAAAACTTCCCCACTGCGGTTGTTCTCCCAAATCAAAGAGAAGAAGAGCCTTCTCTAGTATGTTCTCCAGGCTGCAGAGGTGGCACTGGTGAGCATGAGGCCAGCTGCACTTTGTCTGAAGAAGCCTTCTTTGAACTGGAGGTTGCATTTACTCCTGCAGCCAAACTTCATCTCTGAATTTCTCTTTCCTCCCCTGGCAGAGTTGCTCTTTGCGTAACAAATGTCAGAATTTACACATCACTGCATGTGCATCGTGTTATTTTTCTTTCTGTCTTCCTCTCAGCAGATTTCTATATTTTCTTCCTCCATTTTCAGGCCCGAGTGTGATAGTTGGAAAAGCAGAAGGATTACTGTGCCTGCCTAGAGGTTTCATTAGGCTCTGAGGTGATGCCGTTCTGGTCTCTGCTCTCACCTGCATAGGTGTAAATCAGGAGCAAACCTCTGGGTGAGCTGCAGCCAGTCAAGGACCTGCCTGAACCATCTCTCCAGGCTGTTTTTACACTGTAAATTGGGGGAGCAGGGTAAATGATACGTTTTTCCAACCCCAAACACCACCCTTCACCTTCGCTGTCGTCGTTGCCCACAGTGCTGCTGGCTGGGGCTGCTCCTCCGTGTCCCTGGCACAGCCCGGGGGGGGGTCCCGTGGGCCCCCCCAGTTTGGATGGGGTTTGTCCTGCAGTGTGCTGGTCTCAGGGTTCCCCACGGACACCATCGGCCTGTTGTGGCAGTTAGTGAATCACTGTCAAAAGAGTTTCTTGACCGTAATAATCTTCTCGTTGCTTATCCAGTTTCACACACGTAAGAACATACATGTATTTTGTATGGTGGCCCGTCTCCTTGGCTCCAATTTCCTGTGCTCAGCTCACAAAGCATGTTTTTTCTTAAAGAAAATAAGCAGTATCTCAGGAAGAGCTGAAATGTGGTTTTCATTTACTGTGCCATAGAAATAACAGATTTAAAGATTTCCCTTTGTGTTTATTCCTTGTACTTATTTAATTGAATTCCATGTTGATTTACCAGTTAGGGGTTACAATTAAAACAGTTAATGCCTCTTTTCTGAGGAAAGTTCCTAAGGGCTGTATTTTCCTCAAATAATTTGGAGGGCTTTCAGAAAGCTCAGCTGCAGAATAGAAGAGAGGCACCATTCTTACATGAAATGCAGCGGGAATTAATACATTTGCTGATGCCTACGAATGTTCAGTTCCATTAAAAGTCCGTGACATTGCTTGGGCAAAGTAAAGTGCAGGGAAAAAAGAAAATTCAGCGTGCTCCTGCTTGAGGGTGAATCATTCTTTCCCCAAGGTGGAGTTCCCCGGTTTTGGATGGGCCAGGTGGAAGGGCCCGGCTGGCAGCTCGTGGCTTGCGCTGGCCCTGGGCTGAGCAGTGGTCTGGCCTTTTTTTCTGCTTTATTTGCATGTGTATTGTCCGATGGTTGCTGCAGAACTGAAAGGTGTCTGCATTTTTACCCATCCCTTAACTCTTACCACCTGAAAATAGTCTTGTGATTGACAAGAGCTGTTTTTGTTTGCAGGTATAACACCTTGCCAAGCCGAAGAACATTAAAAAATTCCAGATTAGTGAGTAAAAAAGATGATGTTCACGTCTGCATCATGTGTTTACGGGCCATAATGAATTACCAGGTATTTCCCTTTTTGTTCTTTTGGACCACGTAACTCTATTGTTGTTGGGACAGGGGAGGAAAAGGTTAGTGGTGAATTGTTAAGGTAAAACTGATGCAAAGGTTTAAATTCTTACTCATTTTTAGGCAGTGTAGCTGGGAAGCAATGTAACCTAGTCCTTGTGTACCCGTGCAGATGTTTTACTACAGATCTGAAGGCACACGTCAATGAGAGCGTGTGTGTTGGGCCGGCTTCTGTGTGCAGCCATGGGCTCAGTTTGTAGCTACACAACTGAGGTTATTTGTCTCAGAATTTAATGCTAACACTTAGGAAATACAAGATTTTTTTCAGAAGAGCTGTACGCTGATGGAAAAGCCAAGCTTTTGCTCTTGTTACGTGCTTCTGGCAAGGCAGTTGCAATAACCGCAGGTCAAAGAATAAACTAGACCAAAGCTAATCTTATTTTCACGACTTTCTTTTATCTTCAGTGGGATGCTGTGATCATGTGGCATGCCCAGGTAGCTTCAGACACTTGGGATTTTCTGCTAAAACAGTAACAGCTAGAAGTTACATGCTTCAAAGAAAGGCTGTGGTGAACACCTTTATTACAAACTGTATGGCCATATGAGGTATTTCTAACACGGCTGCGTATATCAACTCTGCCCTTGGGCATAGCAGCTCCCTGGGATTTACAGTGAGTCTTACCCCTGATGGGAAGGATGCAAACAACGATCTTGTGCTAATAACCAATACAGAGTTTTCCAAAGTAGTTCTTTTTTCATTTTTGGAGAGTAAAGCCAGCAGTACTCGTGCGATATGTGCATGATGCAGTCGCTCTGTGGCAGCATGCGTGCTGGAAAACAAGTGATTTTGGCAGCTAAACTACAATTTCTCTTTAGAGAGTAGATGATGCACTTGGCTGTCAGAATGAAAAAGGGGTTGGAGGGAGGAAAGGATGAGCAGAGGGGTTGGCAGTCATGTTGGAGCAGCTCTTGGACCCCGTTTTGTTGGCTGACATGGCCAAACCCATTTTTTTCACCACTGTTAGTGACAGAGAAGTTTTCAGGCACGGTGGGAGATGGAAGTGTCCTGCCTGACTTGGTAAACTCGACAATGTTTTGTTTGACTTACAGTGTTGTGCAAGACTGCCGCCAGATCTGTACACAAGATATTTGTTGGATTTTAAAAAGAAAAATGTCAGTCACAAAACTGAAATAATGTTTTCCCCTTCTCTTTTCAGTATGGATTCAATATGGTCATGTCGCATCCACATGCCGTTAACGAAATTGCACTAAGTTTGAACAACAAGAATCCCAGGTAGGCTGCGCTTGCTTTTAGAGAGTTTAAGAAGTAGGTAAGTTAAAGAGTACTTGGAAAGGGATTCCTAGGGCTATGTTTATGCACAAACCTGTAGCAAAAATCAGACCTCATTCTGAATCGGATTAAATCTGTGTTATGGTGCAAATAGATGAGCAGTTGCCATCTAGTTCCTTTGGTTTCAGGAGCTACTGACTCTTCAGCTGAAAATGTGATGCATAAGCACTCCGGCTCTATTGCAGTGCAAAGAAGACCCTGCTGATAATGAGCAGCTTAGCGTGGGATTTTCCTGAAGAGTAGGAAAATCTTCTTTACAGAATTTTGTCTGAAAGATCCTTAGATTGAAATTTCTTCGGGTGAGGGTTTAGTTCTGTGCCACGGTAACAGTTTTGTAAGCGGGCAGTGGAACTGAGGGCTGCGGGGCTGTGTGTCCCCTCCTCTCCCCCCACACCCTCATGACCCTGGCAGCCTCCTCCAGCAGAGCCTGGAGCCGCTGACCTCTTGCATGTCTTAACAAAACCAAATCTGAGGTACTGATATTTGCAAGGCAAGGTAAAACCAGGGCATGAGACTAAACTACACAGCACTATAAATGTGTCTGTACAACCTTTGCTTAGGCTGTCCACTTGCCTTAGAGTGCACTGCTTGAAGTCTTGCCCTGATGGAAGTAGGTGCTTCCTTCCTTTCTTTTATTTAGCCCTAAGTCAGCAAGCTTGGGCACAGGATAGATGGGAAGGATGTAGGAAGTTTATTGTTTTTATTATTTTTGGTGTCCTGTGCCTGGAGACTGGGTGATCAAGAGAGAGCCTAAGTTTTCATTTTTGAAAGAAGTAGGGTATTCAGATTTATGTTTATTTAGGGCAAAAAAAGCGCTTTCAAATGTGGCTAAAATAATCTGAGGACAAAACTTCATCAGCCCCCCGGGCTCTCTGCTGACAGAGATCACCCCCCGCCTTGCTCCACACACGGCTCGTGGCCCGCCCTGGGAGTGGAGATTCCTCAACATCTGTAGTAAGAGCCCCTTGATCCTGTCTGAGAGAACTTGGATTTTCTTCTTGTGGCAGGGAAAGAAATTGATGAGTAAGAATTGAAAATGATACATTTAAAATTTCCTAGGAAAGTGAACATTTTATCTGGTTTCCAAAGATAGCCTTGACACTTTGAAAGCCAAAAGGTATTTCTTTTTCTGTAACATCTGGTTTGAATCAGTGCTTTAGCATGAGACTAATTTCATATGTGTCTGCATGATTTTACTATCTGCTCAGAGCTCATCTGGCCATAAAGTCCTGTTGGTGCTTTTGCCTTATGTGAACCCTGTAAGGGAGTACTGGGGATTATTTACATTAGCGTTACACTGAGTCTGCTGCACGCTTTTCTCTCTGTAATCCCTTGTCTCCTCTCATTAATATGCCTGTGTTAGCACTGCTGTCAATCAGTTGCCCAGATTTCTGATTCAAGTGGGGAAAGACGTGCTAAGGCATCCTATACTTCAGCGAAACACGTCTTTTTTTTTTTTTTTTTTTTTTTTTTTTTT